TGGCTCGGGCTGAAGGGAGCACAGCGGCTCCTCCGCTGCCGTCGCTGCCCGGCGGGGCCGTCCCGGGGCGCAGGGCCCGGCACCGCGGGCAGGCGGCTCCGGAACGGCCCCACCGGGAGCCCCCAGCGCCTCCCGGGGCGAGAGCCCCGGACCGGCCGGGCCAGCCGGGAGCTGCCGGGGGGAAAGAGCCGGGAGCGACCTCAGAGCCCTCAGGGACCGGGACCGGCCGGGAGCTGCCGGGGGAGAAAGAGCCGGGAGCGACCCCAGAGCCCTCAGAGCCCGGGACCGGCCGGGAGCGCCCTCAGAGCCCTCAGGGACCGGCCGGGAGCTGCCGGGGGGAAAGAGCCGGGAGCGACCTCAGAGCCCTCAGAGCCCGGCCGGGAGCGCCCTCAGAGCCCGGGACCGGCCGGGAGCTGCCGGAGGGGGGAAAGAGCCGTGAGCGCCCTCAGAGCCCGGCCGGGAGCGCCCTCAGAGCCCGGGACCGGCCGCCTCCCGTACCCCCGGCCGGGACGCGCCGGATGCTCGTGGCCTCCCGCGTGTGCCCAAGCCCGGAGGCGGGGCTCAGTGTCCGTGTGGGTGACTCAGAGCTCCGTGCGGGGCTCAGTGTCCGTGTGGGTGACTCAGAGCCTCGTGCGGAGCTCGGTGCCCCGGTGGCGGCCGCACTCACCGTGTGCTCGCCGGGTGCCTGCTGCTTGAAGGTGGTGGAGAGCGAGATGGGCGGCACCACGGCCCCGGAGCGCCACTGCTCGGGCTCCTGGCCGCAGTGGATGGCATCGGTGGCGAAGTGCTTGAAGGGCGGCAGAAAGCCCGGCGTGCCCGCGTCTGCCATGGCCGCGCTCTGCGGGACCGGCCCTCAGCGCTGAGGGGGCTCGGCGGGGCGGGGCCCTCGCGCCCTCCCATTGGCTGCCGGCGGGGCGGGGCGGGGCCCTCGCGCCCTCCCATTGGCTGCCGGCGGGGCGGGGCCCGCCCTGCACAGGCAGCGCCCGCCCGCTGGGGGGCGCCGCGCGCCGCGGGGCCGCTCCGGGGGCGCCTTTCCCGGGATCCCGCTGGAACCGGGAATCACCCGGGAGCACCGGGAATTATCCGGGAGCACCGGGAATCATCCCGCAGGAACCGGGAATCATCCCGCAGGAACCGGGAATCATCCCACAGGAACCGGGAATCACCCGGGAGCACCAGGAATTATCCCGCAGGAACCGGGAATCATCCCGCAGGAACCGGGAATCACCCGGGAGCACCGGGAATTATCCCGCAGGAACCGGGAATCATCCCGCAGGAACCGGGAATCACCCGGGAGCACCGGGAATCGTCCCGGCAGGAACCGGGAATCACCCGGGAGCACCGGGAATTATCCGGGAGTACCGGGAATCACCCGGGAGCACCGGGAATCATCCCGCAGGAACCGGGAATTATCCCGCAGGAATCGGGAATCACCCGGGAGCACCGGGAATTATCCCGCAGCACCGCAATGATCCATAGGGGAGCGGTGTGCTGACTGCCCGGCAGCGCTGCCGGGAGAACCTCGGCACGGGGAATAATCCAGCAGTGCCCAGTGGGATCCTGGGGCGCATTGGGAAGAGAGTTTGCAGCAGCTCAGGGGTGATCGTGCCCCTGCACCCAGCCCTGGGGGCACCTCTGGGTGCTGTGTCCATCTGTGGCTCCTCAGCACAGCAGGGACAGGAGCTCCTGGAGCTGAGCAAGGGCCTGGAGCATCTCGGTGCTCAGGAGAGGCTGAGGGAGCTGGGGCTGCTCAGCCTGGAGAGAGCCCAGTGAGAGGGGCCTGAGCCCTGGCTGTCCCTAAGTGTCCTTGTCTGTCCCTGTCCGTCCCTGGGTGTCTCTGGCTGTCCCTGCCTGTCTCTGTCCGTCCCTGCCTGTCCCTGTCTGTCCCTGGGTGTTCCTGGGTGTCCCTGTCTGTCTCTGTCCATCCCTGGATGTCTCTGTCCATCCCTGGGTATCCCTGTCTGCCCCTGGGTGTCCCTGCCTGTCCCTGTCTGTCTCTGTCCATCACTGGCTGTCCCTGTCTGTCCCTGGGTATCCCTGTCCGTCCCTGGGTATCCCTGTCCGTCCCTGTCTGTCCCTGCCTGTCTCTGTCCGTTCCTGGGTATCCCTGTCCGTCCCTGGCTGTCCCTGTGTGTCCCTGTCTGTCCCTGGGTGTCTCTGTCCGTCCCTGGGTGTCCCTGCCTGTCCCTGTCCGTCCCTGGGTGTCCCTGGGTATCCCTGTCTGTCCCTGGGTGTCCCTGCCTGTCCCTGTCCATTCCTGCCTGTCCCTGCCTGTCCCTGGGTGTCCCTGTCTGTCCCTGTCCGTCCCTGCCTGTCCCTGTCTGTCCCTGTCTGTCCCTGTCCATCCCTGTCTGTCCCTGTCTGTCCCTGTCTGTCCCTGTCTGTCCCTGCCTGTCCCTGGGTGTCAGAGCAGCCCCAGGCTCTGCTCCAGGCCCAGCGATGGCCCCAGAGCCACGGGCAGGGACTGAGCCCAGCAATTCCCCTGCACAGGAGGCCCTTCTGCCCTGGGCAGTGCCAGCCCTGAGCAGACTGTGCAGGGAGGCTGTGGGCTCTCCTCTCTGGGGATATTCCAGAACCATTGGGACACAATCCTGTGCTCTGGGATGTCCCTGCTGGAGCAGGGAGGTGGCTCCAGAGGGGCCACTGTGGTCCCTTCCAGCCTTATACATCCTGGGATTCTGTGATTAAAAATTAATTCAGTGTGTCTCCCTGCCAAGGTTATCCTGCAAGGACTGACGTCCATGGAACAGTATTTTGACATCTGAGGACAAAGGACATGTACTTGCTGAAGGCCACTGATGAATGATTTATGTATTAGATTTTGTAAGGAAACATTTTCTTTACAACAAAACTATGGATAAAATCTGAACAAAGCTGGATCTAAGAAGAGCAAACCTCTGGATATGTGCAGGGCCATGCCCCAGCCTCACATACAAGCAGGAACCTGGGATTTAGGAGGGAGGAATTCCATCCCCTGTTGACAAATCTGCTTGCTGTAGGAAAGTTCTGTTGATAGGCAGATTAAAAAAAAAAAATTCTCAAGAATTTGTAAGTGTAAAGTAATCCCACAGTTGGGATTCCCTACAAATAGCAGTTTTCCCAGAGTCCTTCCCGTGAGTAATGCCTTGGTTCCATTTCTGGGGTGAATAAGGGAGTCCATAATAAGCTGGTAAACAGTGACTTCATGCCTCTAGTAATTAAAAAGGCAGCTGAGGCTTCCAGCATCAGCTAAAACTTGAGCCAATCCCTCCATTCCACAAGACCAGCCGTGCTCCGTGTGTGTTTCCAGCACGGGAGAACAGAACACCAGAACTGCTCACAGTGCCAGCCTCTCATATTCTGCCCCCTCCTCAAAAAACAAGGAGAGACAGAAAAATCTCATTGGAAAGACCACTGGAGTATAGAGCAAAACCAATTTTTTTTTTTTCCCCTAGAATTACTTCAAATTACTTCAAATACTCACTTGGGATGAGGGAGATGATGTGAACTGAGGAAAGACACGGTCACCAGGAAGGCAATTCTGTTACCACAGCAGGTCTGGTCTCCCTGGCAACTTGGGGGTTGTTTTCCCTGGGAGAATTAGCAAAAAATCCAATTAACCAGGAATTTGGGACATCATCATTTTTACAATTACTCATGCCATATTGGAAGCAGAAACTTGCAGAACTGGCCCAGGAGCAGAAGGTGCAGTGGGACATTGGGAAGTTCCGACCCAAACAGGTCCTTTCTGAGCTGACACTGCACCTACAAGGGCTCGCACCACAGCAGGGGGATGTCCTGTTTGTCCCCTTGAGGAACACTTGTCAGGTCCCATCATTTCCCAAAGAACTTTCCATGGAGGGTGGGAGAGCACCAGAACAGCTGCTCAGAGAGTGGTGGAGTCTCCTTGTCTCAATCCCTTGGGATGTGGCAGTTGGGATCCGTCACTGATCCTGCCTGCCCCTCAGGATGTGCCCTTTGGGATCAATCCCACCCCTCAGGATGTGGATATAGGATCGACCCCTGATCCCACCCCTCAGGATGTGGTTGTTGGGATTGATCCCAAATCCATCTCCTCAGGATGTGGCCGTTGGGATCCATCCCCAATCCCCAATCCTGCTCCTCAGGATATGGTTATTGGGATGGATCCCCGATCCCTTCCCTCAGGATGTGGCTGTTGGGATCCATCCCTGATTTCCAATCCTGCCCCTCAGGCTGTTCTCGTTGGGATCGATGATCGATGATTGATTCCCAATCCCAAATCCCCAATCCCCTCAGCCCATGCCCACTGGGATGGATGATCGATATCAATCCCCAATCCCCTCTCCTGCCCCTCAGGCCGTTCCCGTTGGGATCAATGATCGATGACCGATTCCCGATCCCCAATCCCCAAAGCACATGCCTGTTGGGATCGATGATCGATCCCCTCTCCCTCCCCTCAGGTCGTACCCGTTGGGATGGATGATCAATGATCGATGATCAATCCCCTCTCCCGCCCCTCAGGCCGTGCCCGTTGGGATCGATGATCGATGATTGATGATCCATCCCCTCTCCTGCCCCTCAGCCCCTACCTGTTGGGATCGATGATTGATGATTGATCCCGCCCCTCAGGCCGTACCCATTGGGATCGATAACCGATGATCGATGATCAATCCCCTCTCCCGCCCCTCAGGCTGTACCCGTTGGGATCGATAACCGATGATCGATGATCAATCCCCTCTCCCGCCCCTCAGGCCGTGCCCGTTGGGATCGATGATCGATAACCGATGATCGATGATCAATCCCCTCTCCCGCCCCTCAGGCCGTACCCGTTGGGATCGATGATCGATAACCGATGATCGATGATCAATCCCCTCTCCCGCCCCTCAGGCCGTACCCGTTGGGCTCGATGATCGATAACCGATGATCGATAACCGATGATCGATGATCAATCCCCTCTCCCGCCCCTCAGGTTCCCGCCCCGCCCCTCCCGCGGCTCCTCCCGCGCAGTCTCGGCGCGGCGCAGTCTCGCGAGAGCGGCGGCCGAAGATGGCGGCGCGGAGCCGAGGCCCGTGAGGCGCGGGCGGAGCTGCGGCCGCTCCGGGCGGGACCGGCCCCGGCCCCGCGGGCTCCGAGCGCTCCCGCCGGCCATGACCGGCGAGAAGCTCCGCTCGCTGCGCAGGGACCACAAGCCCAGCAAGGAGGACGGGGACCTGCTGGCGGCCGGCGAGGACGAGGCGGCCGCGGCGCCCGGGGGCGCCTTCACGGGCGGGAAGGGCGGGCGGGCCGGGGGGCACCGCGGGCCCGGCGCGCACCGGCACCGCCCGCCGGCCCGGGCCGCCCCCGCCGGGCCCGAGCGCGGCCCCTTCCCCGTGCACGAGTGCGTGTTCAAGGGGGACGTGCGGCGGCTCTCGGCGCTCATCCGCACCCAGGGCATCGCCCAGAAGGACAGTCACGGTGAGCGGGATGCACCGGGGGGGATCCGGGGCTCCGGGCCGCGTCCCGGTGAGGCGGGGGATGCTGGAGCGGGAAATAGGGAATTCGTTGGGAGTTTCATAAAGGTGTGTGAATCCTCTTTAGGAAGGATTGTGGACGAGGGATGGAGGGACAGGACGCAGGGAATGCTTCCACTGACAGAGGGCAGGGATGGATGGGATACTGGGAATTGGGAATTGTTCCCTGGGAGGGTGGGCAGTCCCTGGCACAGGTGCCCAGAGCAGCTGTGGCTGCCCCTGGATCCCTGGAATTGTCCAAAGCCAGGTTGGACAGGGCTTGGAGCAGCCTGGGACAGTGGAAGGTGTCCCTGCTCATGGCAGAGATGGGTTTTAAGGTCCATTCCAACCCAAACCATTCTGTAATTCCATGATTTTCATAATCTGAATGAGCACTGTCAGCTTCAGTACCAGCACTGTGCTGGCAGAGCTGCCTCTGACCCGGTGTTGCTGTGTGTCCAAGACCCCACAGCATTTGAAAGATTAATTCTTTTTCAGGATGTGTGAGCTGTCACCTGTTTGCTTTGGGCAATGCTGAGCGGTTCCTTTGACTGTTGGCAGAGCAGTTTTTGATATTACCCCAGGCAACAAAAATAAATCCTTTTCCCCCCTTTCTTTTTAAATGCTGTGGTTCTGGATTTTGAGAGAGTTGTTCTCGGCTGCTCCTCTGTAAATGCTCTGTCCACAGCAGTGTCAGTGGCAGAGATGGAATCTGATCCTTGTGCTGCTCTGAAATTTGTAAATATTGAATGTCTTGCCAGGACATTTCAAAACGTTTTAATTTTAGGGCTATTTTATACTGTTATCAAATAAATCAGCCTGGGGGATCAGCTTGACCTTCATGGTTGGTTTTAATCTCTATTTTTAATAGCCGTTTCAAGAGTAACATGATCTATTTCTGCTGGAGAGCTCCCAGTTCCACGTGTGTGGTGTCTGAGAAGTTGTGATAAAGGGGATGCTTGTGTTGTGTTTCTGATAAGGAGATCAGCTCTGCTTGATTGTGGTCTGCAAGTTCAAAAGGAGCGCGAAGGTGAAGGATCTCTGGGGCTGGCACGGTGGCAGGAATGATGGAATTGGCAATTCCAGCTGTATCTGTGGTGGCACTGGGGGCTGCAGAGTAACACAGGGCTCAGCTGCCAGCCAGGATGGGCAGGAGTGTTCCCTACAACTGGCACAGCGCTTTCCTGAGGGCAGGGCTCCAAATCCAGCTACAGATCTGTTTATCCTGCCACCTTCATTCCAGCAAGTCCTGCTAGAATGAAAGCAGCAGACTTGGAGAGGATTTTTCCCACTCGCTCTGTTCCTGCTGCTGCTTCTCCCTGTTCCTCCTCCACTTCCCCTTCAAGCAACGCAGCAGCTCCAAATCTTTCCTTGAAGGCACTTCCTGATCCCTCTTTGCTGCGCTGTCACCCTCAGTGTGTATCACACACATTGATTCCATCCTATTTTAATCCATATATAAATCTCTAATTACTATCTCCCTGCTTTCCCAGCTCTGTTCTGAGTTGGGACACTTTGGGGATCTCTGACTCATCATCTCCCTCCAAGTTTTTGCTTGAACTATTAAAAAAAAAAAAAAACCCACAACAAACCACTTGATGGCTTGACATTCCAAAGGCCTGAGTAACATTTCCCTGTTGTTGTTTTCTTCCTGCCTGATTCCATCTGTCACTTGTTTACACACACTGGAACTGGGAATTATTTGGGGGATACTCCAGCTGATGATTTGCTCAGAAATAAGGCAGAGGAATCCCGGGATGTGCTAAGGATTGGACAGAGAGAACTAATTGTTAATAATCCAGGCCTGTTTTATTGTTGGTTCAGTGCAGGAAAGCCAAATCCAGTGGAATGGAGACTCCTGCTGTTCTGTTAAAAGCAATTGAGTGTTAATTGAGTGCCTACCCAGCTTCCTAAATTAACCTCCAAATCGCTGCCCAGAGGAAGGCCAGTGTCATTATTCCCAAACAATGAGTTTCCTGGGAGAAGCCTGTAGGTACACCTAGTAGATGACTTTTAGTTTGATTATAACATGCATTTAATAGCTTAAATCCTGAACAGACAAATCCTCTTGCTGGAAGACAGCTGGAAAACAGCCCTGGCTCCCTGCAGGTGTGCAGGTACCTCAGCAGAGGTGAAAGGCCACACGTGTGTGGGGACAGGTGCTGTGTTTGAGGTGTGGTTTTGCGCCACCTGGATAGGCACAGGCAGGATTCCAGGAGCTCCTGGAGCATGGATTTCTTGGGAAAATGGGCTGTGGCTGTGCTGGGCGCTGATGAGGCCTCACCTCAAATCCTGGGGTCAGTTCTGAGGCCCTTAGTCCAGCAAAGACCCTGAGGGGCTGGAGCATGTCCAGGGCAGGGAACAGAGCTGGGAAGGGTCTGGTGCCCCAAGAGAGGCTGAAGGAACTGGGAAGGGGCTGGAGGATCCCTGAGGGAGCCGGGAAGGGGCCGGGGGATCCCTGAGGGAGCCGGGAAGGGGCTGGAGAATCCCTGAGGGAGCTGAAGGGGCTCAGCCTGGAGCAAAGGAGGCTCAGGGCCCTTCTGGCTCTGCACAGCTCCTGCCAGGTTTGGGATCTGCTCCAGGAACAGGGACAGGAGGAGAGGGAACAGCCCCAGGCTGGGCCAGGGGAAAACTGGGTTGGACATCAGCAGGAATTTCTCCATGGAAAGGCACTGGAACTGCTCAGGGAGGTTTGGAGTGCCCATACCTGGAGGTGTCCAAGGAAGAGCTGGATGTGGCACTCAGTGCTGGTGACAAGGTGGGAATTGGGCACAGCTTGGCCTTGGTGTTCCTGGAGGGCTTTTCTGCCCTCACCGTTCTGTGACTCCATGATTTTGACAGTGTTTCCCCTTGGATCACGTAATTTGCATTTCCTGGGCACACAGGGTGGCTCCCTCTCAAACGTCTTCCTCAGGAAGGTTATTTCCATCCCCTGCCAGAGCCTGGCAGCATCCAGGATTCCCAGTGCTGTGCTGGCTCCCAGATGTTGGAACAGCTATTAATAGCAGCAGGAGTTGAGCTGGGTTAGTGTATAATGAGCTGGGCTGTGGCTGCCCAGGATGCTGCCAGTGTCCTGCAGGGATGAGATGCAGGACACATTGAACAGCCCCTCCTGAGCAAGCAGGGCAGAATTCCCATCTCCATCCACATTTCCCTGGTGCTGGCATTCGTGTGGCAGCCTCTCCCAGATGTGCAGCACATCCTCTGCACAGAGCAGAGTCTTCCTGCTGACAAAATGGGAATTAGAGAATAACTCTCAACCCACAGTGTGTGTTAGAATTGTACAAGAAATTTGTTTTCCAGCATTTTTTTTTTCTCTTGACTGCTCTAAGAAGATGTTTAAATGTGCAAAATACAGTTAAATGGAAGAACTTTACATCCTTAAGCTGCCTAAATAAAGTGTGTCATGAGCCTGGTAGCAGCATTAATCCAGGAAAAACAGCTCTGGGTGCCTCACAGCGAATATTTAACAACATGAATACCACCTGTGTCACAGCATTGCCAGGAAAATGGGGACAGGTTTGAGAGGCTGCTGATCACCTCCAAAGCTTTCTTTGGAAACAACCAAAAGGCAGCTTTGTAGTGAAGGTGCTGTTCCTTCTCAATATGCCCAGTACTGTAGTTGTAAAAGATGAGTACTCAGTCTTTGAAAAATTAATAAAACAGGCTGTTAAATTTTTAATCAGTATCATTTCTGTGAGTAGCTTTTAACCCAGATATGTCAGGCTGGGAAGGGATCAGACCCTTCAGCCCAGGAGGAGCACAGGGGTTGTGTCTTTCTCAAAGACACCTCTGGACCTCTTTGCCTGGAGTGAGTTTCAAGATATTAAAAAGCCTCTCTTGGCCCATGAAATGTGTCTCAGTATATTTATTTTGACAATTATAATCCAGCAAATGTCACTCCTCTGGTGGGTGTTGGTGTGTTCCTGGGTTAGAGCAGGAACTGGAGTTTCCTAAGGAAGGGATTGCAGTGGATTCTGGTGACTTTAATCTCATACTTCTATTTCTATGGTTTCTTTTAGGAAACACTCCTTTACATCTTGCTGTGATGTTGGGACATAAAGGTGAGTAGAACCATTTGTTTTGTTACCTCTTCAGTGATCCTGAAGATTCAGGGGCCAGAGGAAAAAAAGGGTTTTTTTCCATTTTCCTCAATGTGATCTTGTGTTTCAAGCTAGTGAGGTTTTCTGGAAAGAAGATGCCACATGGATTTGGAGGAGAAGAGTGGGAAAAGAAATCTGAGCTTTATTCCCAATATCCCACCTAACCCTACGCTCTAGCAGTGGGAAGCCATTCCCCCTTTCCTGGACCCTTCTCCTCTGCAGATGAGCACCCCCAGCTCTCCCAGCCCGTTTATTGAACTGGAAATGGAATCTGGCTGGTGGTTCCAAGCTGGTTTGCCTGCTCCCTGCAGAGTGATGTTCCTGTCCTGGGCACTGTTTAAGGAGCCATAAAAATCCCTTGGCTGGGTTAGTCAGGGCCTTTGTTTATCCCCACAGGAGCCAGTGTGTGCAGCAGGGAGGGATCTCTGCCTCCCCAGCCACTCAGCCTGCCACTGACTCACAGCTGCTCCATCTGGAGTGACCAGTGCAGTTTCCTGTGGCACCTGTGGCAGGAAAATAACCCAGGAAGTCCCTGTCTTGGTGGTGAGACAGCTGGGCCCTGCTGCATCACCTCCAGACAGCTCAGGGTGGCTTCAGTGGCACGTGCTGAGGTTTCCCTGTGCCTGGAAACTGAAGAACCATTTCCAAGGAGCACATGGGAACTCTGAACCCCTCCTTGTCTCCTGCAGTTTTTCCACTATCATGTCCACCTGTGGATGGGGAATGCAGCTATTGGTTCCACACCACCTCAGAGTTTTTCCTGGAACAGAGGTGCCTGTTTGCCCTCTTTAAATCCCAGCTTCCCCAGGATGTTCTGGCACCCAGGAATGTGTTGGTGCCTCAGCCTCCCCTCCACCTGATGGAAATTGCCCCAGATCTGTGTCCCCATGATCCATTCACCCCTTGGAGAGGGATGAAGGCCCTGAGGTATTTCTCTGCTTTGTCTGTGTAGCAGAGAGAGATGATGTCATGCATTAAATATAAATGTTCCATACTGGTGTGTGTATCTGACATGCAGAAATATTATAAAAAGCAAACTCCACATTCCAGGAAGGACAGGTCTCTTCAGTGTTATATAATTGGTGGCTGATCACCAATTATTTTTACAGTAATATTGAACAGGGAAGTGCTGGAAGTACTTGCATAAATGTCTTTGTTAGAGTGAGTCAGAACCCAGATATGTGTTTTGATAATCTGTGTAATATCTCTGCTATGCATTGCTTTGGTAGAGTTTTATTGTGACTGCTCCTGCTGTATCTTTTACTGTAAATAACTGTGGATATTTTGTTCCAGAATGTGCCCACCTGCTTTTAGCCCATAACGCTCCAGTAAAGGTGAAAAACGCTCAGGGATGGAGCCCTCTGGCCGAAGCCATCAGCTATGGAGACAGACAGATGAGTAAGCACCTCTTCATTCATCCCAGTTTGCCAGTTAATCCCAAACTGGGGCTCATTCAGAACAGGAAAGCAGAGCTCTCAAGCTGAGCTATTTTTCCCCCAGCCCTCTTTCAGCTCTCTGAAGGGTTTCTCTTAATCAGCTGAACATTTTATATCTGCACACGATCAGGCACATCCATTTCCTTGATAAGAAATTGCTCTGGGTTACATAAGCAGACTGTTAACTCTGCTCAGACTGAGGGCAGTGGGAACACTCTGCACGAGCATTTTCTGGGTTTGGAATGGCACTGAAGGATCCAAACGGGTCTGGGCTGGGTGGGATCATCTCCTTGGCCTGCTCCCTGTGCTCACAGGTTTGTTCATGCCTCAGGTGCCAGTGGGATGTGGCTTTTAGGCTGCATCTCAAGAGGCCTGTGGGAAAAGATAATTTATGTATTATGTATTATTCAAATATTATTTATTCACCTCAGACGTGGAGTAGCAAAAGGAAATTATTCTGCTGCTACTCACTGGTGGATGTTAATAGTATTTGGTATTACCAAGTGTTAATGGTATTTGGTATTACATGTGTGGTAATAACTATATAGCATTCCTGTATATATAGTCTGCATTCCTATAGCAGAAAACTCACTATATATTACACACATAAATGTATTATTAATATTTAATGCACTAGTTTATAATCTACCAACAACATTTTCATGTCATCTCCTCACTACTGATTTTCTCAGTGGAGCAGATGTTACTCTTTATATTTGTATCCACATATTTACTGATACCTGTGTAAAAACCCTTTTGACATGATTCTATAGCTTGTTTTACAAACAATTATTGAGGCTTTCCTTCCTGGGATGATCCGAGCAGGTTAATGTGCAGTTCCTGTAACTGGGATTAATTCCTCAGGTCTGATGAAATGTTCCATTGCATTGTTGGGTTTAAGACCTCAAGTAAGACACTCACCTATAATTACCAAACAAACAGAGTTCATGGATTAATTCCTGTGTAGTTTCAGCACTCCTGAGGAAGCTCAAGCAGCAGTCCAGGGAAAGTGTTGAAGAGAAGCGACCTCGGTTATTAAAAGCCCTGAAAGAGGTGAGTTGTGCTGACACAACCAGATGGGGTGGAGAGCAGTGGCTTGTGCTCTGACTATGGACACTCTGGAAAACTGCCAGGAAGTTTTTCCGTGTTTTTAACCAATCTTTTTGCTCTTAAAAGCAATCTTGGCTCCGTTTTAAGGGGTCACAGAGTTCTATTTATTTCTAGAAATTCAAATATAAGGTTTGTGTAAGGCAGCCTGCTCATCATCATTGCAATCTCAGAGTTAAAAAATCTCTATTACATTAGATTTTTAAGGCTTTCTTTAATCCTGTGTCAATGAATAATTTCCTGGTCTGTTCAGTACCCAAATGACTCTTGCCCAGTGATGGAAGAGATTTTTGGTTTCATTCTCCATCAGCATCCAGCAGCCAATTCCCCTTGGGCACAGAGAAATATTGCTCAGTTTGGGGACAGCAATTTGTAGAAACCCAGATATTTATCAAAAATAAATTAAATTGTCCCTGTGAAAGCTGAGCTGTGTTGTGATCCCTGAGCATCTCATGGTGGGGTTGGCTCTGGCTCACACGTGCTCTGGAGGCACAGGAGGTCTGACCTGGTGACTTCAGCACATTTCCACGAGGCCAGTGGCAATTGATCTTTGCAATACTCCTGCCCGAAACTTGACTCATTAATTATTGTATAATTAATTCTAATTCCTTGGGATTGGTTGGGTTCACTCAAAGCAAGCAGAGAGCTCCATAGGTGTTTTTTAAGCACATGTTTACAATAAATCTTTTGCAATCCAGGGCTTGATGGTGGAATTAGTGTTAAGAAACTATTAAAAATGTGAGTTCAAATGAGTTACATCATTTTGTCATTATTGATTCTGCTGCAGCTAAAGCTTCAGTGATGTTTAAATTCAGTGCAAATTTAAGTACAACATTAGGGAAAGTTTCCTTTGCCAAATACAACTTCTGCCTGTCTTCAAATGTTACAGTTGTTTAGCCTAAAAAGCTGTTTACACTTTCTTCTTTTCTTCTCAGCTAGGTGACTTCTATCTAGAGCTTCACTGGGATTTTCAAAGTTGGGGTGAGTGCTTCCATGTCCCTTCCCCAGGGAGATAAAGCAATCAGCCTGCAGCACACTTGTTCTCCTCTGCTTTGTGCTGGAACAGTCACAGTGCAGTGCTGGAGATCTGAGTCCTGAGGACAGGACACACAACTTCTTCCTGATTTATTTTTGCTCATTCACTTTTGGATGAATTCTCTCGTCAGTGACTCAGTAAGGAGGGGAAGTCGTTCTTTGCTTTAAGAAACTGCACCATGGAAGGTGTTTCTGCCTATGGCAGGGGCTGGGATGGGATGATCCCCAATCCAAACCAGTCTGGGATTCCATGACTTTGTGTGTTTTATTATTTTAGTGATTAATATTAATACTTTGGACCATTTTTTATGCTTGTGGCTGTTCTGCTTTACGTGGAGCCAGGCTTTCCCTTGCTGCATTATATAAACTGTTAAATCCCAGAATTCAAACTATGAAAAGCCACAATTATGAGTATTTATAAATACAAAAAAAAATTGGAAATACAAATTCTTTCTGATATTGTAAGCAGAGTGTGCAATTACAAAAAAAACCCAATTTTATAAATTAGAAATACCCCTGCTGTTGTGTTTGATTGAGATGATGATGGAAAATGCTGTATCTGCATTAAAACACCTCCAGAATCAAACTGATGGAATGGTTTTAGTGGGAATACTTTGCAGAGGGATCTCAGTGCCCTGACTGCCTTTTCTCTCCCTCCTTTAGTGCCTTTACTTTCCCGAATTCTGCCTTCTGATGCATGTAAAATACACAAACAAGGTATAAATATCAGGTGAGTGCTGCTTTTGTACCCAAATACTTCTGTGCCAGGGAAGAGCTGGATCCCAGTGAGCCTGACAGAACCTCCTGGGGAGCCTGGGCACATCCATGACACAGCATTGAGCCTTGGAATTTCAGGCTCTGATTATCTCTTTTGAGCTGAATATAACAATATAGAGCAAGAGCAGTTCAGCTGGATAAGGCTTTATCTGCCAGATGTGCCAGTGAAAAACAGAGATTGGGTATTTATCATAAAATTGCACATAAATTCCAGTCTTTTGTGGGGAAGTGTTGCTGCTCCAGTCTGTAGTTAAAAGAAAAAAGTGATATAATCTCTTTCTTCAAGGTGTTTAATGTGACAAATTCTCAAACTCAGTAGGTGGTTTCAGGAGTCTCTCCAAGCTCAGCTCTTTTTAGTTTGGATCAAATGTATTTTCTGGCATTTGCTTTAGGGACAAAAATTTAAAACAAAGAGGCAAGAATACGATCCTGGAGATTCAATCTGTAGTAATTTTTATTCTAATAAAGGGGTAGCTCGGGTGTGTAAAGTGAAATTTGAGTCCGGGGCTGTTGCTTTCCTTTTCATTTCTGAATGCTCTGCCGGTATGAGGCCTGAACTGAGGGGAAATAGATAAATTATATAGATTAACAGATAAATAGATAAATTCCAAGGTGTTTCCTTGGAATCAGAGGCAAATCTATGAGGCTTTAATCCCTCACCACTTAGAGGTGAAGTCACCCAGTTCAGGTTCTTTAACCACCTTTTTATGAGAAAAAAATGCTCTGGCAATACTGATATGAATTGCTACAGAGATCCATGGTCTTAACTCCATCTTCTTCCAGATACTCAGGTCTGCAGGACCATTTCTTTGGTGTTGGTGAGGGAGAAAAATAGAAATAGAAATGAAAATAAATACAATTTTAAAAAATTACTTTCAGATTTTGGATCATGTCCCGGTGTTGCTACTCAAGTCAGGACCCTGCTGAGGAGTTGTTTCTCAGTGTGTGGCACTGAATAAATTCTCTCCCTCTCCCCTCCTCATGCTGGCAGTATTAAATACAATTTTCTGAAGAAAACTTTACCTTTATAGCAATTTTTTTCTGATTTCTGCATCCAGGATTTACTTACAAAATCCTGTGAAAACTCACCCTTTATGTGCTTGTTTGCCATTAAAAAAATTCACTTTCCTGCTTGAAAGCTGAATTTCTTCCTGCGTTTATGGGTCATTTTTGTGAAATTTGGGGTTGTTTTCACAGGCTGGACACAACTCTGATAGACTTTACTGACATGAAGTGCCAACGAGGGGATTTAAGCTTCATTTTTAACGGTGACGCCGCACCCTCCGAATCTTTTGTAGTTTTAGACAATGAGCAAAAAGTTTACCAGCGAATACACCACGAGGTAAAGCTCTGGGAAGAGGGTGGGACACATCCCAGGCTTTTTTTGGGAGTGTATAAAAAAAATTAGCCCCAGAAACACACAGAGAACTGCAAACCAAAGAATTTTTACCTCAGTTGTTCCAACTTGAGCTGTGAAGGTGACATCGAATTTTGTGAGGGAAACCAGCTTTGAATCCAGATTTCTGGTTGAGGAAAAGCTGGAATTTGAACAGACTGGAAAGATGTGATTTCAAGTACGATGTGCTGCTTTTAATCTTTCCACTGGGCTTAACTTGGGTGTCCTCAGGTGGGTTTTCAGAGCTGTTCCCACTGCTTTGCATCCTTTTAGTCACTCCGTGGCCAGTTCAGCTGATAACAGCGTGAGGGTCTGACTCACTGGACCCCCTGTAATTAGTCAAGTCTTTAATTGCAGCTTTATCCCCCAATCACTTAAGCAGATGGATTATTGCCTGTGGAACGGGTGTGGCTGCTGAGCTGCTGCATAAATCCCATTGGGATGCTTTATTCACATTAATATTCAAGATTAAACTATTTGGAAACCATTTGGCCAGCGGTTTTATAAAACCGCTTGAAAATTCAGGAAATGCTGCTTCTGGGAAAAGATCCAAAGGACAAGGCTTATGGATTTGTATTTACTGGTGTATCTTTAGAGGAAGCAATTGCTGTTTGTTAAGTTGTTCTGAGTATTTTGGAATTTTTCTTCCAGGAATCTGAGATGGAGACAGAAGAGGAGGTTGACATTTTGATGAGCAGTGATATTTACTCTGCCACCTTATCCACCAAATCCATCACGTTCACACGGGCCCAGACGGGGTGGCTCTTCAGGGAGGACAAAACTGTGAGTGGGAGGGGAGCTCAGAGCCTGCTGCTGGGCAGGAGGCAGGAGGGAAAGGTACTGCCAGAAGCACTGGAGCAGATTTCCAGGAGAATCTCTGTCTGCCCCATCCCTGGAAGTGCCCAAGGCCAGCCTGGGATGGTGGAAGGTGCCCTGCCCATGGCAGGGAGTTGGAATGGGGTGGGCTTTGAGGTCCCTTCTGGCCCAAACCAGTCCAGGATTATGAAAGGATAAGATGTTCAGGACAAAGAAATAATCCCTCTCCCTGCATCCCCAGTGATCACAAGTTCATTCCAAGTGGAATCTGTCTGCTGGACTGCCTTCAGCAGGAGAAAGGAGGAGGAAAGATTCTGTAGCTGATGGGCAGGGGGAGGACAGACTGTGCTGGGAATGGTTTTGTTGCAGGAGGCTCTGATCTCTGCAGGTTGATTCCAGAGAGTGCAGGAAGGATTCTGTGCATTCTTGCTGGAGTAAGACAGGGATGGGAGTGCTCTGGAAAGGGATTTCACTCAAATTCTTCAACAGTCTCTGTCTTAAAGCTTCCCTTCATAAGAAGTACCTGTTCCTGCTGGATTTTGGGATTGCCCACTGCCAGCCCATGTGGGGGGCTGGGGGAATTCCAGCTCAATCCCCAAATTCCCTTATTGATTCCCTTATTACTTGATACACAAGAATCAAAATGTTTTTATTTTATCTTCTGTGAGTCACTGATGTCCCGATTCCTTTCATGCAGGAAAGAGTAGGAAACTTCCTGGCAGATTTCTACTTGGTGAATGGACTTGTGTTGGAATCCAGGAAAAGAAGGGAACATCTCAGTGAGGAGGACATCCTTCGGAATAAAGCGATCATGGAGAGCCTGAGCAAAGGGGGAAACCTCATGGAGCAGAATTTCGAGGTATAATTGATAAACTCTGCCCAGGGTGTGGAAGAAGAATCTTGCACACCACTCCTCATGGTGCAAAATACATAGATAATGTTTTTATTTTCTTTTGATTGGCATAATCTAAAAATCATAAACATGACCCACAAGTATAATTTTGGTGATACGTTAATGAATTACCCTGATTAGTGCACACAGGGAGGGATTTCTGTGGTTTTATTGGGCATTCAGCCTTAATTTGTCTCTTAGAAGAGATGAGGGGTTTGGCTGTGGCAAATCAACTTTGGATTCTTTTAGACCCAATGTTGATTGTTGGGAATGAAAGGGAAGCCAGAAAGGCAATCGTGCTCCTTTGAGCTTCATTAAAATGGGAGGAAGCCTGTGATTAGCACCAGGAAATCAAGAGCTCTTCAGAACGAGCCAGGCTTCAGCTGGGAACACACACAGAGCTTTTAAAGTGATTAATTTACTTCTGTGTGAGCTGGAGCTGCTGCCTTGGCGCTGGGAGCCCTGAATTAACTCCTGATGGTGGAGCAGCACAGCCCAGTCCTGTAGAAAATACCCTTGGAGGCCAAACACCTCAGTGGGGGCTGAGGGCAGGGGCTGGAACCAGCAGGGCTGTGGCTGTGGGTGGAGCTGAGGGGCAGCTCCAGGTGGGAATGGCAGCAGGAGGGGCAGCTCCAGGTGGGAATGGCAGCTCCAGGTGGGAATGGCAGCTCCAGGTGGGAATGGCAGCTCCAGGTGGGAATGGCAGCTCCAGGTGGGAATGGCAGCAGGAGCAGCAGCTCCAGGTGGGAATGGCAGCTCCAGGTGGGAATGGCAGCAGGAGCAGCAGCTCCAGGTGGGAATGGCAGCAGGAGCAGCAGCTCCAGGTGGGAATGGCAGCAGGAGCAGCAGCTCCAGGTGGGAATGGCAGCAGGAAGGGCAGCTCCAGGTGGGAATGGCAGCAGGAGCAGCAGCTCCAGGTAGGAATGGCAGCAGGAAGGGCAGCTCCAGGTGGGAATGGCAGCAGGAAGGGCAGCTCCAGGTGGGAATGGCAGCAGGAAAGGCAGCTCCAGGTGGGAAGGGCAGCTCCAGGTGGGAATGGCAGCAGGAAGGGCAGCTCCAGGTGGGAAATGCAGCAGGAAGGGCAGTTCCAGGTGGGAATGGCAGCAGGAAGGGCAGCTCCAGGTGGGAATGGCAGCGGGAAGGGCAGCTCCAGGTGGGAAGGGCAGCTCCAGGTGGGAAGGGCAGCTCCAGGTGGGAATGGCAGCAGGAAGGGCAGCTCCAGGTGGGAATGGCAGCAGGAGGGGCAGCTCCAGGTGGGAATGGCAGCAGGAGCAGCAGCTCCAGGTGGGAATGGCAGCAGGAGCAGCAGCTCCAGGTGGGAATGGCAGCTCCAGGTGGGAATGGCAGAAGAAGGGCAGCTCCAGGTGGGAAGGGCAGAAGAAGGGCAGCTCCAGGTGGGAATGGCAGCAGGAGGGGCAGCTCCAGGTGGGAATGGCAGAAGAAGGGCAGGACACTGAGCTGAGCTGTGCTTGTCCCACAGCCCGTGCGCCGGCAGTCGCTGACGCCGCCGTCCCCCAACACCATCTCCTGGGAGGAGTACATCTCTGCAGAGAGTGGCAAGTGAGTGCTGCTGGGTCTGCCAGGGATGCCAGGGACACCTCTGCATCCCTGGGATGGGGGTTTGGCTTCTCCACGTGCTGGGTGCTGCCTGTGTGTAGTGTTGTCGGGAGGGAGGGAGGAGCCCTGGGTTTGGTGTCTCGGTGTTTGTTCTCCAGAGGGGTGGGAAGTGATCCTTGTGTGTGGGAGCAGTGTCGGTGCCTCAGCTTTGGGCAGGGAATCCTGGAATGCTTGGGGTTGAAAGGGGCTTAAAGCCCATCCAGTTCTACCCCCTGCCATGGGCATTCATGGGTAGTGGTTAATAAACACTTCCTGTTGGGTTTATTAGCACCATGTTTATGAGGAATTATTTTATTGGAATAGTTTTCCTGTTTTTTTCTTGTCTCCTGGTTTAGCAGAGCTCAGTGTAATGTAAATTAAGGGGTTTTTAATCTTTATTTTGCACAGCTTTACAATAAAGCAAACCCTTTGAAAGTAGGGATTCCTCCCTGATGTTTTCCAACCCAAGTCTGTTTTCCTTCCTCTAAACCCAGGATTTCCCTGGGAAAAACTGACTTTGCCTCTCCCTCACAGAGCTCCTCACCTGGGCAGGGAGCTGGTCTGCAAGGAGAGCAAGAAAACCTTCAAAGCCACGATAGCAATGAGCCAGGAATTCCCCTTAGGAATCGAATCGTGAGTCGAAGCTCCCAGCCACGGGAGTTATTCCTTTGGGAATGTTTTAACGTGTCCATGAGCTGCAGAACCCCCCAGATCCCCAGGAATGGGAGCTGGGAGTGCAGTCAGGCTGTTGAGCAAGGAGTTCCTTAAACTGGGAGCTGCTGGGGCTGGGGGAAGAGCCAAACCCTTACCTGGCTTGATAAGAGCAGAGTTTTGGTCAGGGTTACCAGCAACTGGTGCCTGATCCCACAGAATTCTGAAATAATTTTTTCCCCATAATAAATTTTAGCACAAAATTGTGTCCCCTGACCCAGTGCAAAGCCAGGTCAGTTCCACATGTCCAGGAGAAGGGGGTGGGTACCTCATCCCTCATCTCCTGTGGAAAATGAGGACAAGGAATTGCTATCCTGGTGTTGGTGTGTTGTAATTCTGGATGGAGAAGGGGGATGATGTCATTGTCACCTTCTCTGTCCCCTTTGGATCATGTTTTCCTGCTCCAGAGGGACAGGGTGTGTGTGGCAGGAGGATCTGTCACGGGCTCTGCTCTCCTTTGCAGGTTGTTGAATGTCTTAGAAGTCATTGCACCCTTCAAGCACTTTAACAAACTTAGAGAATTTGTTCAAATGAAGCTTCCACCAGGCTTTCCTGTCAAATTAGGTAAGAGCACACAGCAGCTCCTGGGGCTTTATATATCCAGAATTTTAGGTTGAAAAGGCTCTCTAAGACTGAGTCCAAGCATTCCCCAGCACTGCCAAGGCCACCACTGCCCCATGTCCCCAAGTACCACATCCACACAGCTTTGAAATCCCTCCAGGCATGGGGATTCCTCCAGGGCTGGAAAACCCTTTCCAAGATAAATTTTCCCAAATATCCAATCCAGATCTAAACATTTGCATTTTTTCTTGCAATATGTTCAGAAGGTTTTTTTTTTTTGAGTTTTGGAGAAGAGCTCTCACCTAGGAATGTGTTGCTGGAGAGTTGAGGAGCACAGAAGTGCTGGGGCCTTGCTCCAAGGGCAGTGGGATGTGCTGGATTATTCCTGCATTAGGGAAGGATCTCAAGTGTGGAGTGTTTTGTAACATTCCCATGTTTCCTTTTCTTGAAGGATTACTGGTGATAGATTTAAGTGAAAAATAGAAAAGTGTTGCACTTGTAGCAGATGGAAATGTCCGAGGTCAGTTTTTCCATGGGGTAGATGACCCCAGAAGCAGTAGCCCCTTTGCTAAGGGCTGCAGGCTCTCTGGAGGTGCAGGGAGCTGTGTGAGCAGCTGGGCTGTGCTCTACCTGTGCCGTGTCTGCACAGCATTCCAGAGCACTTGGGGCTGGGAATGAGCTCAAATTCCAGCTCTTCTCCCATTCCCACGGGCAGGGACACCTGCCACTATCCCAGGCTGCTCCAAGCCCCATCCAGCCTTGCCGGGGTGGGGTTGGTGCCATCCCTGGCTGTCCCTTGTCCCCTGACCGTGCCTGTCCCCGCAGACATCCCGGTGTTCCCCACCATCACGGCCACTGTGACCTTCCAGGAGTTCCGTTATGACGAGTTCCACGACTCCATCTTCACCATTCCCGACGACTACAAGGAGGATCCCAGCCGCTTCCCGGACCTCTGAGGGGCTGGGAGCTCCTGGGAAGGGCCAGCCCGGCACCCCAGGGCCAGGGAACGGCTGCACCCACAGCAGGGCAGAGCCGTGGGGCACAGCAAGGGATGAACTCGTGAGGGAGCAGCAGTGTGGATGTGCTGGCACTGCCCTGGGCATCCAGCCCCTCCAGCTCCAGCTTCCCAGAGCCTCCTGCTGCCATCCCCTTTGGCACAGCCACTCCTGGCTTGGGAGCTGCCACCCCCAGCTGGGAGGAGCTGCTGGTTTTTAAATTTTCTACATTTGTGGTGATCCACGAGGCACTGCTGGACCTTGGCACCGAGCTGGGCTGGGGGCAAGGTGAGCTCCCCTGTCCTTGCCGTGCTCCCTGTTCCCTGAGCTCCCAGCTCAGGCACAGAATGTTGGAAGGTATCCTGAAGGAATGCCTTGGCTGTAGATGAATGAACCAAACGGGCACCACTGGCACTTGGATTTCCTCCTGTGCCCCAGGCAGAGCCGGCTGCACTCTGCAGGGAGAGAGGCACCTCCCGCTGCTGGCCCTGCCTGATCCCTCATTCCCCCAAAGCTCCCTGCTCTCTGCTCCCTGGGGAGCACTCCAGGGCTGCCTGGCCAGGAATGGCACTTGGTAATCTTTTATTTCACCTCACTGGGGAGAGGTGTCCCAGAAAGGCCGAGCACCACCAGGTCAGCTGGTGAGAGCTGGGAAATGTCGGGCATTGCCCCTTTCCTGCAGGAGGAGCTTTCCCTGGGGGCCACTGTGGTGCTCAGCTTTCACTGGGGTGTTCCCACGTTCAGTTCCTGCCTCTGGGTGTTTAAATCACAGAGAATCCCAGACTGGTTTGGGGTGGGGGGACCTTAAAGATCATCTTGTCCAGCCCCCCTTCATGGGTGGTTCAGTACTTCAGCTCCTCAAGCTTATTCCCATTCCCAGTTGTTCCAGTCTCCTCATCTAACAATAATCCACCTTTTTGGGGTTTGTTAGGCAAGATTTGTGCAGAAGGCTGATGGTGCTATTTGCTTGTATGAAGAAATTTAGATTCAAGTGCTGTGGTGTCATTGTACAAAAATGTAAATATTTTCCAAATTATATTCTTTGTGCACTGTAGGTAAAACTTTTCTGGAATTCCATAGAGTTAAGGATCAAAGTTTATAAAGAAGAGGATCATTGATGCTCAGTGGAGGGAACAGCTGTGCTGAGCATGAGGGACAAGGGAGGGGCTCAGCACAGGGCAAGGTGTCAGGCACACCTGAGAGCAGGGAATTCCAAACTGCTGGAATCTCTGGTCCATCCCAAAGAGGCTGCTCTGGGGAAGGACGTGGAGGAGACCCAGGGAATCTGTCAGCAAAGTCCAGGAGCACTGGAGTGGGACAGGGGTTGGTCCTTTCCCAGCAGCTCTGGGAACAGGGAAGCGCTGGGACAGGGGAGCAGTGCAGCTTTGTTGTTAATTCAAACTCAAATCCAAAATGAAACTTTAGGGAAAACAAGCAAAGGGAAATGACTCGTGCCAGTGCCGTGTCAGGGCAGGTGTGGAGCATCCTCTGGGAATGATGGAACTTGTTCTCCCAAGTGAGGATGAATTCCTGACGTGTTTCACACCTCTGGGATGAACTGACACCGTCTGTGCTGCTCCTGGGAGCCAGGTGGGCTCCTCTGGGACAGACTGGGGATGTCTATGGGGCTGAGCTGGGGCTTGGATCAGTGCCTGTGGGGCAGCGCAGGGCTCTGTCCCCTCCCAGGGGTCCCCTGTCCCCTCCCGGGGTCCCTTTGGGATGTTTGTGTAGCTGCAGGACCTGGGCCAGGTGCCCATTCCTTGGGAATTCAGTGAAGGCGAGAGGTTCCTCCCCGAGGTGAATGTCAGAGCTCCCTGTGCTCAGTGGTGCAGGGAGGATCTGTGGGTTTTTCTTTTTATTTTTGGTCATCCCAAATTCATCCCTGGCTCCACGGAAGCATCACTGGGGCTGTGGGGCCTGGGCAGTGCAGCCACTGCTGGATCCCAGGGTGGATCCTGGGCTTGGAACTGGAAAACAAAAAGGGTTTTGAGCGGCCTCCTGTGGGATGGAGGCTCCTGTGGCTCTGTCCCCTCTGGACAGAGCTGCGGGGTGTCTGCCCAAAGCCCAGGGCAGGTCCTGGAAGTGTTTCCCGTGGTTCCTGTGGCCTCTGGCCCCACACCTGGGCGATTTTCACCCCCAGGACACGGCTGCTCCCTGGGACACTTCCAGGGCTGCTCCTAAGGCTTGTCCTGCCTCGGAGTGTGGGCACAGCAGCTTTGGGGCTGTCCTTGTTCTGGGTTACCCCAGGAAATCCTGGCTGCTCCTGCTCTCCCTGTGGAGCTGAGGGATGGGAATTCCCTGGGTTGTTCCTCAGCTCCCAGGGCAGCCCCATGGGCTCGTGGTGCTGCTCTCAGTACTTTTCCCTCCTCCTGGGATGTGTTTCCTGTCTGAACATTCCAGGTGAGGAGTTCTCACACGTAGGGACACCTGGGCATTTCTGATGGGTGCACTGCAGGAATTCTCAGTCCGGGACTCTGGGCTGAGCCTGTGGATCCCGAGGGCTGCCCACATTGAGATCCATGTTTATATCCATGTTTTCTCCACTAAAGCCTGTTTTTGTCACTGGGTTGTGTTGCATGGACACAGGGAACGTTTGTGGGCCTGGATGTGTCTGCGGGGTGTTCCCAGCCCCAGCCTGGGGCACAGGATCCCTCCCCTCTCCCCTGGCTCTGGGAAATCCCTTTTCCAAGCAGCATTGATCCAGCAGAGCCTCACCTCGGCCTTTCCCGTTTTCCTGGAGGCCAGGCCAGGTGTAGCAGGAGGGTTTGTTCCCTGGGAGTGAGCACAGATCCATGGATGGTGTCCGTGCAGCAGCTCCAGCTGATCCCTGTGCCCTGGGCATGTCGGGGGGACCGGGAGCAGCCCAGGACACCCCAGCTGGAGTCGGGGTCCAGGGCTGGAGGAGAAGGGAGCTGGGCCAGGCTGGTGGGAATCCCATCCTGCTGCTCCTGGGGGGTCAGGGCTGGGGCTCCCCTCCCACCACTTCTTTTTTTCCTGAGGTTTTTTATGGCTCTTAAAAGACAACCAGGAACTTTGCTCAACCCAATTCCGACCTCACTGCGGAAGGATCCCGCGGTTGTTTCTGAACCAAACTGTTCCTCTGGTCTTCCAAGCTCCTGCTCTGGCCCGTGGCAAAGGGAACACCCTGGATTTCCTCCCCGGAGCTGCTGTCCAGGCACTGCACTCCCAGCACAGCAATTCCCCGTTCCTGCGGTCAGTCCGTTCGTCCTGCCCCCACGTGTTTGTGCTGGAATCCCCCCGGATCCCCTTGGTATCCCCAGCCACCCTCTGTCATTTCACGTCTCTGCTCCTGAGCTGTAATTCCCGCCAGGAGAACTGCGTTATTTAATCCGGATTAACCAATTCCTGTAATGCTGCAGTTTCACTTTTCTTTTCCTGACAGTTTGTAACTCCCATGGAAAACGAGTCACCTCTCTTGGTTTTCCTGTTGTCCGCTCCCCGATTTTCCCTTCCCTTCACTCATAGTCACTTTGGGTTGTATCATTTGTTAGAATAAAGACCAAACTATGCTGTTGGATTTGGAAACTGCTCCACCTGTGCAATCCAGGCTTCCCTCTCCTGTCCCGCCGGGCTCTGCTGCGGGAGCGGGACCGGAGGGGAGGGAACGAGCTCCTGCTGCTGCGTTCTGCAAGGGCATTTTCTTGGTCATTTTTTAAATAAAATCCTGCATTTTCATTACAGCCTCTTCTCGGCCCTCTGTGAATCCCAGATTTTATGGGGAAAGGATGCAGGGAGCAGTTCCTGGCCTCAGCTGGGGCTGAGGGAGCAGCCTGGGAACAGCTGCCAGGGAGGGAGGGGGGAAAGGAGCCCGAAATTCACTGAACTCTGTTCAGTCCTCCCCGAGATTTCAGCCTGGATGGGTTCTTCTGGGTTTGGGTTTTGCTTTTTCCTTGAGGGAGGGCTGGGGGCTTTTTTTAGGGCGGGTTTGGGATTTTATTTTTAAAGAGCCTTGCTCTGCTGCCCCCAGCATCAGCCCCTGAGCTGAGAGGGATCAGGGCCTCCCTCCGTAGGTACAGATCTGCAGATGGAAAATCTCTGTTTCTAAAGGAGCAGGGAAACGTCCAGGAAGGACTGCAGCCTCTGCCAGGTAAAGCAAAGATTTTTATAACTGCAGTTGTGGCTCCCTGCCAGGCAGGGTCTCCCCAGAGCCTTCTCGTGCTTTTCATCCACCAGCACTCCCAGGTCCTTCTCAGCAGTCCCATAAACCTCCACATTCCCATTTTAACCCATTTATCCCCCAAAAGTAAAATAATTCTTTCTTCACTGTAACAGGGAGATGGAAAAGTCCCCTGTAAGGAATGAGGTAAATTTTGGTGCAGCCAGAGGTGGAAATAAAACCCAGCAGTTTTCTAGGAAGAGGAGCTGAAGTTTCAGGGTTTTATTATCAAAGTTTTGTAAAACATTTTCTGAAACTGTACATCGACATGGCACAGACTGTCAGCTACTTTTGTCTCTTTACCTGCACAAAAGTAAAAGCTCTGGAGCTGCTGGAACTAAGGAACAGCTTTGGGTAACTACTCTGCAAATACCATGGGATCACTGAGTGCGGGAGGGAAGGAACGGCCGGGACAGGAACACAAATTTATCCGTTTGTACAACTTGAGATCGAGTAAAAAGTACATTATCAATGGACTTGCTTTAAAAAGAGACCAAGGTCATTTTAAAATGCACTCCCTGCTGCAGCGGGTGAGCTCCTGAGCCCCAGCCCTCCCTCCCTGGGCACGGCCAGGATTCCCCTCGCCAAGGCCGGGTCATTCCAGCTCTCCCTGGGCAGAGCTGGACGGGCACGTGGAGAGAGCCCTCAGGAAGGTCAGGGCACAGAACCCTGGGCAAAGCCAGCCAAAACCCCACGGGAGCCCAAACCCAGCCAGGCCCAGCACGTGGCTTAAAACCAGAGCTAAAGCCAAGAGCACAAAGAGCTGGTGCAATCCAAGGCCAACTTCGGAGTGTCCCCTCGCTGGCTGCAGGAGAGGAGGGCTGTGCCACACTCCTGGGCATTCCCAGAGGACAGGAGGGCTGTGCCACGCTCCCGGGGCATTCCCAGAGGACAAGAGGGCTGTGCCACACTCCTGGGGCATTCCCACAGGACAGGAGGGCTGTGCCACACTCCCAGGACATTCCCAGAGGACAGGAGGGCTGTGCCACGCTCCCGGGGCATTCCCAGAGGACAGGGGGGCTGTGCCACACTCCCGGGGCATTCCCACAGGACAAGAGGGCTGTGCCACACTCCCGGGGCATTCCCACAGGACAGGAGGGCTGTGCCAAGCTCCCAGGGCATTCCCACAGGATGGGCCTGTGCCACACTCCTCACACTCCTGGGACACTGCCACACTGCTGGCTCAGCCCGGGACACTCGGGAGGGAGGGAAGCAGGCAGGGAGGAGGGAGAGGGGTGGCCCAGGCCGTGCTGTGGGAGGGACCTGTGGCCTGGCCCGGCCCCAGCTGGGCCCCCGGAGCAGGGGATCCCTGTCTCAAGCTTTGGGTGTGAGTTAGTATCGGGATGGACAGACCATGGAGAGCTCGGAGCTGGATACATCTAGGTTGAGGATTAACAAGTACAGCATAAAGGATCACACTGGAGGGGCCGTGGGCGGGCTCAGTCGCTCATGTCCATGTCCTCCTCGTGGTGGTCGTCCCCGTTCACCTTGGATTCCCTGCCCGGGTCCCCGCTGCCCTTCTCGGCTCCGGGCTCCTTCCCTTTGGGGGAGGGAGCATCCGCCACCTTCTTCTCCTCCTTCTTCTCCTTCTCGCTGTCGTAGCCCTGTTCCTCCTCGTCGTAGTCCCTTGTGACCTGCTTTGCCAGGGAAAGGGACACGTTAGCACTTCCCTGTGGGCCGGGGCGGGGGGGCTGTGGGGCAGGGCTGGGAGCGGCTCCGGGGCTCTTTGGAACATACTTTCACATCCTTGTCGCTCTCGGATTTCCGGTCACGATCCTTCTCCTTGTCTTTGCTCTTCTTTTTCTTGCTTGTTGACCGCTCCCTCTCGTCTCTGCTCCTCTCCTTGTCTTTATCCTTCTTCTTTTCCTTTTTATGCCTATGAGGATCAGCAGGAAGAGGATGAGGCCCATCACCATCACCCCATTCCGTGGCTGGAACTGTGTCCAGAGTGTTACCACAGCAAACCCAAAGGAAAGTGGCAGAGTGCAAGTAGGGACCAGGCTCTGCTTTCAGGAAACACCCAAAATCCCAACTTCTGAGCTCTGGCTCAAGGACAGCACCACAAAGCCAAGGCTGAGCAAAGCTGTGGCAAACAGAACCACGGAATCTCCTGAGCTGAAGGGCCCCACAGGGATTGGGAGTCCAAACCCTGGACACCAAGAACAGTGATGCTCCAGTGTTTTACAGAGGAGCACCTCGAGTCCCCCATGCTGGAACAGGGTCACAAAACACCCAGGCCACCCAAAATAAGCTGATCCCTACTGTGCAGAGCCAAAGGGGCTGGGAATTGTGGCACGTCCTACTCCTGCCACCCACGGAACCCTCCTGACCCTTGGAGCTCCCAGCCCAGAGCAGCTCCACAAAAGCAGCAGAGATTCCCCCACAGAGAATCCCTGGGAGCCTCCCCAGAGGGCACAACTCGGGAATTCCCCACCCAGACACCGTTCCTCCCAGCCAAGTGCTCCCCTGACCTTCTGGGCGACGGGGACCGGGACATTTTCCGTTTGGGAGACCTGGGCTTTTTCGGGGACCGTGTCCCGCTCCGGCTCCGCCGGCGCCGCCGTTCTCTGCAGGGAGACACAGGAGCTTTGGAAATCATGTTTTCAGAGCTACAAATGCATCCCTAACTCCAACCCTAGCCCAGCTCACAGGGTACTAAAGAGTTGTTAAACTGCAAGTTGAATTTGGAAGTTTTTTAAAAATATGAAACACTTCTGCCTGGATTCATTCCCTAAATCAGGAAGAGCTTGGCAGTGACCCTGGAGCATCAAATTTTGACACAGAAGAAGAAAAAGTGTTCTAAACCAAACCCAAAGAATTTACCTCAAATTTAGCTTGCAGGAAAATGCAAGTATCTTACAGACACAGGTGGCAGAGGTGCTGTTGTGCCTGTACCAGACACATCCTCATTGGAATTATGCTCCAATTGGATCCAGGAATAGTTTGGGCTGGAAGGGACCTCAAAGCCCAGCTCCTTCCATGGGCAGGGACACTTTCCACAGACCAGCTGCTCTATCACATTTTTTTCTGTTTAATACTGAAGTGTATCAAAATCCTGCTGGGCACAGAGAGCAAGGAAAATCCCATTTCTGTACCTGCTTGTGCTTCTGGATCTTCTGGTTGTGCTGTAGCTTTTGGGGGGGGTTTTAGAACGTTTCTTCTCTTTCTCTTCCTTCTTTTTATCCCTTTTAGTAGAAGAGAGATTAAGGTTAAGTCACTTTCAAAAAGCACTTCCTAATCTGGGAAGGGGATGCAGAGCTGGGAGGGACAGGGGTGGCACCCCCAGGTGCTCCAGCCCTCCGTGTCCTCCCCAAACTGAGGGCCCAGAGCTGACACAGCCCTGGGGACCCAGCAGTGCCAGCACAGGGGACAGGACTGCACTCCCCGGAGCCATTACCTGGTTTTGGATGTGCTCCGTGACCTCCTGCTCCTCTCTCTGGAATGAGATCTCCTTCTCCTGGGACTTTTGGATCGCCTCCTGCTTCTGGATTTGGAATGGGACCTTCTCCTTGATCTGCTCCTGGAGCGTCTGCCAGGGACACACCAACAGGGAGTCACAGGAGGGAATCCTGGCACTGCTCCCAGCCCAGCTGCTCAGGGCAAGGACCCCCCCAAAACCCAGCAAAAGCTCCATCCACAGGAGCTCTGCACACTCAAACGTCAATAAAGCTTCAGAGCCCTAAATCAAACCCAAGGCTCCCCCCAAGAATGATTTTTGCAGGAATTGTTCCAGCTGTGAGAGGTGTTTCTAAGGAGTTGCTCAGTCACCTGTGTCTGGATGAGGAAGGTGTCCTCCTCCTCCTCGAGCGCGACCTCGACCTCGAATGTCTTCGTTTTTCATCTTTTTTGTCTGAAAAGGGAAAAGCAGAATAAACACCAATTTTTTTTTTTAATACTCAAAATTATTTTCTAAAGGAAAGGACCTGGAGCTTCATGTGATTGATATAAATCAACTTGACCTTGCCCTTTGAAATGAAGACTCGTGTACAATTTTCTTCACAAGAAGACAAAAAGAACGAACAGAGGACAGGGACATGTTTGTGACACAAAAAAACAGCTTTATGCAAAACCGGAGAAGTCAAAATTCAGAAAAAAATCTAAAGTCAGTGAAAAGCTGATGGCTGCAGGGCACTGGAAAATCCTGTGAAAATCCCAGAATCTGCCATTTCCCGAGGGACTGAAGACCCTGTCAAATGATTGTTTTGAATTTCCCACAAAAAAGCCTCAAGCAAAGCAAGAACAGCTCTGTTCTTTCCTAGAAATCATCTCAGGAGGCTGCAGAACTGATGAATATTCTGTATTTTCAGTGTTCAGGTTTCTGCCTCTCAGATTTGGTGCCTCTGACATTTGTGAGAGAGCTGCTGGAGCTTGTTCTAAAACCAAACCTGCTGAAAGAAGCTTCAAGAAAGAGAATTATTTACAAATCTGCCCAGATTAGGAATGAAAATAAAGGAAAGCAGCCCTGAGAGAAGCATCAGCAGAGTGCCAAGTGGTGAGGCCAGGAAATCCAGGTTCCCTTGGATC